AGTTGCAAATTATCTGCTGCAACAAATATGATGTGCTTAACACTGTTTCACAATATAAGAATGCAATGACATTGCAAATTTCCAAATTCCAGTCTAATTGAAAGATTATTTCCTAATCCTTTAACCCTCTCCATTAAAGTCTGACACACCCAGAGCTCAATTTCGTATATAAAAACCGATGTTCCCCAATGCAAATTGCTTCTTCGCGGTAGTTCTTCGTGTACAGCGTGATCTCGCGGAGTTGACCGTCTGTTCATCGTGAACATCGGATGGACGTTAAATAAAGAATATGGAATAATTTGAACTGAATCATAAATTTAAACCATGTCAATCACTCACTCTTAATTCTACGACCGGTGCAATCTTTTCGGTAAACTTAGAATTGCCTTGTTAGTCTATGAAAGTAACCATACGATAATTTCAAGGTAATAGATAACCGAATTAAATAATCGCATAAAGGCTAAAGAATTCAGACGAGTGAAGACAACAAGGTTGAATTGAGTGGTTTGAATTTTCCATTAAAATAAATTCTATATTGTGAATACTAAATTAAAACCTTACTAAATTGATTAAATTCATCCGTAGAAATGAGTCCTTCCGGTAGGCCCGCGACATTATTTCAATTATGGATCGGAGTCATTAGTTTGTTAGTGAAAACAACTAAATCATTAAAGCAAGTGTTAGATGGAGTATCTCTGCATAAGTCAGATATACTCTACAATGTTTTCAATGAAATGAACTCAACGGGTAAGGAATGTTTTACTTCCTTATTGAATTTTGTTATGACAAGTCAGTTCGGTATAATTTAATTCGCTGAAAATATAGAAGATGTTCAAATCGTTTTGCCCGCCTGAAGGAAAGCAAGTAGTCTCGAAAACGATCCTCCTTCATTTCGTTCAGTGCGGTAGGAATTAAGGAAACTACATACGTAAGTAAATTGTATAGTTCTAATTATGCAACTCTTAATATTATAAAGTAACTTTTATTCGGAATACTATGTTTGATGTTTTAACCTGATTTTCTTGAAAATAAACTAATTGAACTAGGATCGGATTTAGTTGTCTTTTTTCATAACCCTTAATTGCCTACTGAGAATTCCTAATAAAATAAAAGTGTTTTTGTAAAATAACCTTCTATCGGATCGGAAAACTAACCCATAAATAAAAAGATTATTTCACTTATAAATATTTAAAGATATATATATATAATTAATTTGGTTGTTGTGATTTCCGAAGGGATGAAAAATATTATAAATAAAATTTCATGACTAAAAACATCACAAAAACATCGGACATATTAATTCCTCTGCTTTAAGTTTTAAGAACTAATTTGAAAACTTTAAATTTTTTTGGTCGCCATTTTGGAGCCGCCATTTTGAATTTTGAATTTTTGATTAAATATTTGGATTTAGAGACCTCAAAAACCCCCGAATGAGCATTTTCAGTCAAATTCGTAAACTTAAAAGAATTTTTGGTCGCCATTTTGAAGCAGCTATTTTAAATTTAAAAATTTTTAACCAAATATTTGAATTCAGCGACCCCAAAAACCCCCAAGTAAACATTTTTAGTCAAATCTGTAAACTTTTAAATTTTTTTGGTCGCCATTTTAGAGCCGCCATTTTGAATTTTAAATTTTTGACTAAATATTTGGATTTAGAGACCTCAAAAACCCCCAAATGAGCATTTTCATCCAAATTCGTAAACTTAAAAAAAATTTTGGTCGCCATTTTAAAGCCGCCATTTTGAATTTAAAATTTTCAATAACGGATTTGGATTCAGCGACCCCGAAAACCCCCGAGTAGGCATTTTTAGCAAGATTCGTTAACTTTTATATATCTTTTTTTTCGATGCTGCTATAGCGGTCATACACACTGGGGGCACGAATTATTTTTGCCTGTACAGACGTCAAACACTGTGAAGGGGTTAAGAATAAAATTTAAATTTTTTAAATGTTAATTAATTTTTTTAAATATTTGCCTTTCTTTGGATGAACTATAATGATAAGAAATTTAGGAATTAATACATTGAATGCGTTAATATTACTTTTAGCACATTTAATTTAATTTTTGGTATATTTTTTGTCTCTTTTTTCATAAAAAATTCCTCTTTTCACCTTTTCTGAGTGACCCGCGTTTTTCTCGGAATTTTGCAAAATTTTGATAAATAATTATTGAAAAAATTGTTTAAACATTAGGAAAAAGGGGTTTTTCGTTTAGAATTCGGTTAAATGGCTATTCTGTTACGTGGAAATGTCAATTGACAGTTTAATTAATTTTTTATATTAGAAAATTCGTTTCTAACATTTATTATAAAAAATTTTTTTAATTTAAAAACCTTAAATTCATTTTATCTTAATGGTATTATCATAGATAATTTATAAAATAAAAAATAGTAATTTTTTGTAGATTAATTTTATTAATTATTAAAATAATGAAATAAATATTATAAAATGTATTGGTAAGTTTCTAGAAGTCACATATAAAAAAATCTTTTAGATAGAAAGAGTATGGAACCAGTCAAGTTGACGAATACTGCTATGGCAAGCAGAGAAAGGTATGTTAATATTTTAAGTAATGATGATTATATATCAATTGACAACCCTGATGAAATGTTAAATGATAACCATATGCTTCAATTTTAAAAATTATTGACTAAAGATTCTAATTATTTGTTTAATATGCGCGATACTCTGTTTATACAAATACAACATCTCATTCAGCCGATAAACAAGGGTGAAAAACATATTCAAATACTATTTAGCGGTAATGCTAAAAGAGGTCATTGGATTTGTAGTTATTACGATGGTGTAAGAATTTATATTTATGACAGCATTAATGCGGGATGTTTAAATGTTCAGCAAAGAGACTTTTTAAAAAAATTATATCCTTTTGAACCACCAGTAGTTTTTGTAGGTGTTGATCAACAATCTGTTGATAGTGTTGATTGTGGCGTGTATGCAATTGCATTTGCAACATCCTTGTTATTTGATAAAATGCCACATACTCCTAATTATTATAACGAAAGGAACGAAATGAGAAGGCATTTAAAATCAATGTTTAAAAATAATCGTTTAAGTTCCTTTTGAGCAGAAAGAGCGACTAATAATAGAATATCTATTGTGGAGTGTGATTGGAAGTGTCTTTTTCAGGATAGATTTGAGGAATTTCGATGGCAGAAACAAAACCTTTCAAATTTCTTTGAGACTCCCTCTAAAAATAATGTAAATAGCGTTTTATCCATTAAGGATTATTATGAAATCAAATGTCCTCAGAATAAAGAAATTGAAAAAAAGAAAATTCGTGCAATGAAAGATAAAGAAAGGAGAATGAAAGCAAAACTTGAAGAATCGTATGATCAGAAAATAATTAGATTAGAAAATGATAGATTAAGAAAACGTAGTAATCGAGAAAATGAAACAGAACTTTAAACGAAAAAGCGTCAACAAAAAGACTTAATAAGTAAAAAAATTAAATTATCCTTAGAAACGGAAGATGTGAAAAAGAGCGCCAACAAAAAAGTTTAACTAATTTTAACAAAAAATTATTATCAGAAACGGAAGATGAAAAAAAAATGCGTCAAAAAATAATTTTAACATGCAAAAAACAAAAATTAGAAACGGAAACCGAAAAGAAGGTACGATTAAAACAAAATTTGAAGAGCAAAAAACAAAAATTGTGCAAAAAAAAAAATTTAACAAGAAACGGAAGATGAAAAAAAAATTCGACAACAAAAAGATTTAACAGCGAAAAAAGAAAACTATCATTGGAAACAGAAGCTGAAACGATAGAACGACAACAACAAAATTTAGCATGTAAAAATAAAAAATTGTCATTAGAAAGTGAAGTAGAAAAAAAAGCGCGAAGAAAAGGATTTAAAAAGTAAATTAAATAAAAATAATAACAAAATATTAGAGACAGTAGGAGTTGCAATTGTGACACTTGAACGTTTTGATGAAAGTAAAATCTCAGAAAATTATTTAGGTTTAATGAATGTAGAGTGTAAATTTTGAAACGCATTACATTTTTTGTGTAAAAGATCACCAGATAAATTATTTACTCACTGTTGTCATAAGGGGTTAGTAAAGTTAGATGATTTAAAGCCTTAGCCGATTTACTTAAAAGATTTAATATTTGATTCTACCTCCAAAGGTTAGAATTTTAGAGAACAGATTCGTTCTTACAATAGTTCATCCGCTTTCGCTAGCATGGGTGCTAAATTAGAAATTCCGAAAGGACATGGACCTTATGTTTTTCGTATTCATGGACAAGTGTATCATAACACATACGCTCTTCATCCTGATAATGATGAACACATTCGAAAATATGGTCAGTTATATATTCTTGATACCAATGAAGCAGTACTTGAACGAAAAAAGAATAAATTAAATGATAAATGTGACCCTTTAATAATGACAGAAATAGATAAATTATTAAGAAAAGATAATCCCTATGCAAAAGGATTACAAATGATGAGAGAAGTAGAATTAGAAGAAGAAAAACGAGCAAAATTGAAAAATGAACCTCCAAGAGATATTAAACGTGATAAAACGTAATTAAACGTGATAGATCATTAAATCAAAAGAAATTTAATGCTCCATCTTACAATGAAGTAGCGGTTGTATTCGTCAGTGAAGATGGTGAACCTCCTATAGAACGTGATATATGTATATATCCAAAAATGCCAAAAGATCAAAATGATAGTAAAAACAAAATTAAAAGAATTCCAATTAATTTTCTTAGTCAAAATGTTGATCCCATAATATATCCTTTAATGTTTCCTTCTGGTGATCCTGGATAGACTGTAAACATGATACAAACTAGGGGTAAACATAATGTTTCACTTTTACAATTTTATAATTATCGTATGTCATATAGAGGAACATTTAATCCATGTTTACATATGGGAAAACTAACTCAACAATTTGATGTTGACGCTTATTCAAAAGTTATAGCTTCACGCATAAGTTTTGTTTATAAAAATCAAAAACAACTTCGGGTAGAAATGTACTGTGGATTAATGGATTATCTACACAATAAAGCAAAAGAGGAAAATGTTAAACCAGGAAATTTAACTATTTTACCTTCCACATTTACTGGAGGACCACGTTCGTATCAACAATCATTTATGGATGCCATGCGATTAGTTCAAGAATTTTGGAAACCAGATTTGTTTATTACAATGACATGTAATCCAAAATGGCGTGAAATTACAGAAAATTTATTAGATAATGAAATTGCGTCTGATCGACCAGATATTGTAGCTCGAGTTTTTCAACAAAAGGTGAAAGAGCTCATGAGTGAATTAAAAGATAAAAGAATTTTTGGACCACTGCTAGCCTATGTGTACGTAATAGAATTCCAAAAGCGTGGATTGCCACATGTACATTTAATAATCTTTTTAGATAAATCATTTGCAATTCGTGATGCAGAAACTGTTGATAAAATAATATGTGCAGAAATTCCTGACGAAGAAAAATACCTAGAACTTTATAAGATTGTAAAACAATTTCAAGTTCATGGACCTTGTGGAAAGCAAAATATGAATTCGCCTTGTATGGATCCTTAAAGAAAAATTTGCATGAAACACTATCCAAAACCATTTTCTTCAGAAACAGATTATCATTCAAAAAATTATTCAGAAAATAAGCGAAGAAATGATGGTGAAAAAATAATTTTTCATAACAAAGATGACTCAATTAAAAGTACTGCTGACAATTCGATAATTGTACCCTACAGTCCTTATTTAAGTAAAAAATTTGCATGTCATATCAATGTTGTAGCATGTGGTAGTATAGGTGGTGTTAAATATTTATTTAAATATTGTTATAAGGGTTATGATTGTGCAATAGTAGGTATTAAAGATAACAGTAATCAAGTATTACATTATAATGAACCGCAACATTATTTAAATACCCGCTATGTATGTCCACCAGAAGCAATACATAGATTACACAAGCCTGCAAAAAAAATTTTTTTTACGGTTGTCTGAGATCCGTAAGTCATTTCCAGAAGTATTTGGTGCGCTGAATCCGAATCTGGAAAGGAAAACCCCCCATCACGTCATGATTTTGAGAAAAGTGGGGGTAAAGGTCCCAAAAAACACGTTTTTGGCAGTTTTTGAAAATTTCTACCGAGTAAATCCGACGTGCTAGAGACTTGTTCAAAGAGTCAAATTAAAGCTTGACCCCTGTACTTTACGAAGATATAGCGATATTGACAACAACGAACTAAATTAGCTGTCAAAAATGATTTATAAAAGTTGTCAAGCATAAATTTGACTAACATTGCCCGTTAAAAGACCATTTTAAAAAACAATTAGATTCACTTAAAATTTGTTATTTGGGGGTTTTCAAGGTCCCTAATTACGAATATGATGTCAGATTTTCAAAATTCAAAATGGCGGATCCAATATGGGGGACGACTTGTTTTAAAAATCGATTTAATTTCCCTGAAACTAACGAGTTTTTGGAGTCGCTGATTACGAATATGATGTTAGATTTTCAAAATTCAAAATGGCGGATCCAATATAGCGGACGACTTTTTTAAAAATCGATTTAATTTGCTTTAAACTTGTTACGCGGGGGTTTTCAGGGTCGCTGATTACGAATATGATGTTAGATTTTCAAAATTCAAAATGGCGGATCCAATATGCATGACTTTTTTTTTATCTTCACTATTTAGCTGTCTATGGCGAAACAATCACCATAATAATAAAAGAAACCTGTAAAAATGTTGTTTGAGCTAAACGACTGAATTTAAAGAGTAAAAAGTTGTTTTCAAAAAGATTATTGTCGAACTATAAGATTCTGAATATACCTTACTTATAATAGCAATTTCAATTTTACTTCTAATTTTTCAGTTTCGAGATTGTTTAGAATGGAAATTAATTCTTAATAACTTTTTTAATTTGTCTTTTGACATATTATACTTTGTAAACGTTAGTATTGGGAAATTTTTTAATTTATTGTTATTTGAGTAATACCATTACATTGGCATTCAAATTAGCATATGTTTCTGAAAATGTCTTCGCGACATTGTAAAAATGACATTGAGAAATTTTGTTATATGTGTGGCAGATATACCTTTCCGAGAGACAGAAAACCGATCTCTAAATTCGTACGCGAAACGTATTTCGAATATTTTTAAATAAATATTTGACATCAGGCAAAAACTTGGGTTCCTCATAAAATTTGTAAAAGTTGTTTGGAATCATTACGGGGATGGAAAATAGAAAATAGAAAAAAGAAAAAATATACGTTTCGCTAGCCCAATGATTTGGCGTGAACCTACCAATCATGCAGAAGATTGTTATTTTTGCAAGTGCCCTGTAATGGGATTCAATACTAAAAATAAAGGAAGTATTTCCTACCCTAATGTCTCATCTGTAACACTACCTGTTTTCCATAGATTTGATTCTTTGAATCCTAAATCACCTACTCTTATTCCTTCATCCACGTTAAATGAAAATATTTTTGATCAAAATATTATTGATGATGAGAATGTTCTAGATGATGAAAATGATTCTGATGATAAAGATTGTGATGATTATATAGATTCTTCATTTGACGTTAAGAAAATGAATCCTTTTACACAAAACGCTTTAAATGATTTAGTAAGAGACTTAGGACTTACAAAAGAGAACTCAGAAATTCTTGGATCAAGACTACAAGAACGAAATTTGTTGGATGCTAAAACAACAAGAATTTCTTCCATATTTTTCTGAAGAAGGATCACTAGTTTTTTGTAACAACATACCAGACTTATTCAATGATTTGGGACATAGTCATTTGTCAAATGAATGGAGACTCTTTATCGATTCCTCAAAAGAAGTCTAAAAGTTGTTCTTCTCTATAATGGGAATAAATTCGCGTCGGTCCCAATTGCTGACTCAGCGCATTTGAAAGAAACGTACGAAAATTTGGTAACAGTTTTAGAAGCGATTGGCTATAAAACATATAAGTGGATAATTTTCGGGGATTTAAAAATTGTGTGCTTGCTTTTAGGTCAACAATCAGGTTATACCAAATTTCCATGTTTTTTGTGCGAGTGGGACAGTAGAGCTAGGCATTTTCATTGGACGAAAAAAAATGGACACCTAGAACCACATTAAAACCTGGGGAAAAAATGTAATTCACGATATTCTCGTAAATCCTTCTAAAATTCTGCTGCCTCCGCTTCATATTAAACTGGGACTCATGAAGCAATTTGTAAAGGCTTTAAACAAAGAAGGCAATTGTTTCAAATATCTCTGCACTAAGTTTCCTCACTTAAGTGATGCGAAAATTAAAGAAGGGATTTTTATTGGGCCACAAATTAAATTGCTAATGAAAGATAAAGAGTTTGAGAAGACCATGATTCCTGTAGAGAAAGAAGCTTGGGACGCGTTAAAAGACGTAATTAATAACTTTTTAGGAAACAACAAGGCTCCAAACTACAAATCTATTGTACAAAAAAAGCTTACTAATTGTAAGTTCAAGAATTTAGGATGCAACATGAGCCTAAAACTTCATTTTTTATATAACCATTTAGACTTTTTCCCTGATGGTAATTTAGGAAATGTGAGCGAAGAACAAGGTGAAATATTTCACCAGGATATCAAAGACATGGAGAGGAGATATCAGGGAAGATGGGATGCTAAAATGTTAGCGGACTACTGCTGGTCCCTTAAGCGAGACGATCTAGGTCAAATTCATCAAAGACGATCAAAAAAAATCCGTTTTGACAACATGTTATATTCGATTTAAAGATATTTTTATCATTGTCAAAGTTGCTATTTAAAAATAAATTTTATGAAACAAAAAGGTTTAAGATATAAATCAAGAAAAAATATGCAAATAATATCAAATATAAAGTAAAAAAATAAAAAAAACAAAATATAAAAGTAAAAAAAATTTTTAAAAATATAAAAATAAAAAAAAATTTTTAAAAAGAAGTGTGAAATAGATCGCCTCCACGCGTTGCACTTTGGGTAACTTAAAAATAACATACAATTTGAGGCAAAACGATCTATTTTTGATATTATATTTCCAATAATAAATTTTATTTTATGAAAAACATAAATATAAGAGAAAAAACATTAAAATATGTTAACTTTAAATGTTAACAATTGCAATCTAAATATTAAAATCTTGAAAATCTAATATCATATTCGTAATCAGCGACCCTGAAAACCCCCGAGTAGCAAGTTTAAAGCAAATTAAATTGATTTTAAAAAAAGTCGTCTGCCATATTGGATCCGCCATTTTGAATTTTAAAAATCTAACATCATATTCGTAATCAGCGACCCCAAAAACCCCCGAGTAACGAGTTTCAGGAAAATTAAATCGATTTTTAAAACAAGTCGTCCGCCATATTGGATCCGCCATTTTGAATTTTGAAAATCTGACATCATATTCGTAATCAGGGACTGTGAAAACCCCCGAGTAACAAATTTTAAGTGAATCTAATCGTTTTTTAAAATGGTCTTTTGACGGGCAATGTTAGTCAAATTTATGCTTGACAACTTTTAAAAAATCATTTTTGACAGATGATTTAGTTCGTTGTTGTCAATATCGCTATATCTTCGTAAAGTACAGGGGTCAAGATTTAATTTGACTCCTTGAACAAGTCTCTAGCACGTCGGATTTACCCGGTAGAAATTTTCAAAAACTGCCAAAAACGTGTTTTTTGGGACCTTTACCCCCACTTTTCTCAAAATCCTGACGTGATGGGGAGTTTTCCTTGCCAGATTTGGATTCAGCGCACCAAATACTTCCGGAAATGACTTACGGATCTCAGACAAACGGAAAAAAATTTTTTTGCAGGCTTGTGTTATTAGAATATTCTATGCACGAACTATCACATTCACCAGATAGATTAGCTGTGCATTTGCCTGATCAACAATCAATATGTTTTAAAGAAGGAATGGAACAAGAAGCAATTGAGAAATTTAAAAAACAACATTGACAGCATGGTTTGAATTGAATTCTAAAGATCCTGAAGCACATAAATATTTATATTCAGAAATACCACATCATTATGTATTCGTTGAACAATCAAAAACTTGGAAAAAAGAGAACGAATTACTAAACCTGTGATTTCACGAATGTACTTTGTAAGTCCCAAAGATATTGAACGGTATTTTTTGAGAATTTTATTATTGTATGTACGTGGTGCAAAATCATTTGAAGGCGTAAAGACATATGAAGGTATTACGTATAAAACTTTTGTAGAAGCAGCTCGCGCACGAAATTTAATGATAGATGATAATGAATGGGATAATTGTTTGAATGAAGCAGTAGGTATGAAATTTCCTAAAGAACTTTGTCGATTATTTGCATACATATGTGTATTTGGATTGCCTGTGAATGCTGTAGATTTATGGAATAAATATAAAGAGTATATGATTCTGAATAATAATTTACCTGTGGATGTTTCGATTCAAAAGTCGTTAGTTTTAATTAACGAAGTACTCACTTTTCATGGATTTACGTTGCATCAATTTGGCTTGCCACATATAGATAAGAAACTTCTTGAAAAATATAATTCTATTGATATAGAAAATAATGTGTTAGCATTACAATTGTT